GTTTGGGAATTCCCTAAGATATTTTGGACTCATGTCCATGAATAAACCACTGACTTCTCTGTTTGATATGTAGAAGCTCTTTTTAGATGATGATGATGTCGATGATGATGATGACGTTGTTGTTGTTGTTGATTGGTTAAATTTTGTTGACGAATTCTGAAATTCTACCTTGGAAATTTTTTTGGGCTCATAATTCTGCTGTTGCTCCTTGTGTGGTCTTTTCAAGTTATTATTATTATTACTCTTATTATTGTTGTAATTGAAGTTATTATTATTATTATTATTATTGTTATTATTATTGCAATTGTGGACATTATTACTCTTAGAGTTATGATTAAAAGCACTTGCTGGGCCATTAAAGTCATTTGAATGATTGTTGTTATTGTTGCTATTAATAATATTATTATTATTATTGTTGTTGTTGTTGTTGGTAAGACGGCCATCGTCATCACCATCGTAGTTGTTGATGCTCGCCAGGAAGTTGAAGTTTTCAAATATGTTTCCCGCCTTTTTGAATGACGTCATCGTCGACGAGGCTGGCGCTGATGATGATGACGACGTAGGTGTTGATGATGATGATCTCGCTGATGGTTTCGGTATTGATGATGATGATGTCGTTGTTGTTGTTGATGTTATTTTTGAAGGCCTTGTTGTTGTCATTGTTCTTTCAATTAATGTTGTTGTTGTGACCATTGGTGTTGTTGTTGTTACTGATTTAGATGATGATAATGATGTTGTTGTTGTTGTTGTTGCTGACGATGGTGATGATAATAATGATGAGGAAGATAATGTTCTTGATGATGATGTTGTTGAATTAGTTGCGCTTACTTTAATTGGCTGTTTTGTTGTTGTTGATATTGTTGGTGATGATAGTGAAGATGACGACGTTTTTGTTGTTGATGACGTCATTATTAATGTAACTTTTGTAGTTGTTGACGCGAGTGATCTAGAATGGACGCTATTAACTGTTATTGTTGATGTTAGTAAATTTTTTGACAATGTTGTTGTTGTTGTTGATGAGGTCTTCAAGGTTGTTGATGACGTTTTTAATGTAGTTGTGGCCGCCTTCGATGCTGATGATGATGATGTCGCTGGTTTACTATCACAAAAAGATTTAGCTGAATTCAACGGAGTCACTACTGACATTGTTGAAAAAGTAGAGGTAGTGTTAGTCGCGACAGCAGCATCAGCAGCAGCAGTAGTAGTAGTAGCAGCCATAGCAGTAGCTTTAGTAGCAGCAGTGCAGTTGCCAGCCTTACAACAGCAATAATCTGCAGCACTACATTTAATCACAGTATCACCAACAGGACAATAAGGAAGTGGGGCATTTTGTTTTGAAGATAACGAGTTTGACGGCGATAGTGATGATAACGATGACAAAGAAGATGATGATGATAACGACGACGGCGATAATGATAATGATGACGACGGTGATGATGATGAAGAAAGGTTTGTAGTGACACAGCATCTAGGGACATTATTATAAATTGTAGTAGCAGCAGTGGTATTATTGTCATTCCTAGTATAATTATTAAAAGTAGTAGTAGTAGTAGAAGAAAAAATTAGAGCATTTGTGACAGCGGTAGCAACAAGAACTGAAGTAGTAGTAGTCGTAGTAGTAGTGGCAGCAGTACAAGTAGTAGTGGTAGTAGTAGTAGCAGCAGCAAAAGTAGTAGTAGTAGTAGTAGAAATTTTATTTTTAGTTGAAGTCGGTTGCTGTAGAAAAATTGGTCTGTTCTGGTAATAGAGATCAAATAGATTTCTATCATATTTCGTCGTCGTGGTGGTGGTAGTGGTGGTCGCTGCTGCTGTAGCTGCTAATGACGATAACGATGATGATGATAGTAATGCTGTTGATGATGATGATGATATTGATGATGATGATGGTATAAATTCTACATTTGTTATGAAGCAGTCAACATCCTTTGTACTTTCATTTTTAAAATAACCGCTACTTGTAGTACAGACATCATCATCATCACCGTCACCATTATTATTGTTATTATTGTTATTATTATTATTATTATTGTTGTTGTTGTTGTAGCAATTTTCATCGTTACTTGTTTCATCATTAGCATTGCCGGCGGTTCCATTCAAGTGATTGCAATGAATACTACACTCATCATCTTTATTATTATTCATATTATTATTATTATTGTTGTTGTTGTTGCTACTACTATTACTAATGTTGCTGTTGTTATTGTTGATGTCTGGTTCATTCAAGTTGTTGAGTATAGTTGCAGACGACGATGTCGACGATGGTACTTCGTCCGCTTTCGCCGACAATGTTGCTGATGGTGGCGACAACAATGACGACGACGATGATAAAATTGTTGTTGTTGTTGTTGATGATGATGAAATTGTTGTTGTTGTTGTTGATAATGATATTGTTGTAGTAGTTGTTGTTGTTGATGACGATGATGAAACTGTTGATGATGGTGATAAAATTGTTGTTGTTGATAATGTTGATGTTGTTGCCACTTTTGATGATGGTGATGACGACGATACAGCTATTGATGACGATGATGATAATGATGTCGACGATGATGACGTCATAATCTTCCTCCTCTTGAAAGGCAGTTTGAATTTTTTGCTCCGTCTTCTCTTCCTATTGGCCAACTTGCCGATGACGTCATCGTCAGCATTAACACGACCATCATCATCGTCGTCGTCATCATTATTATTCATATTATTATTCACATTATTCATATTATTATTACTGTTCTTATTATTTGATTGAGCACAAAACTGACCACTAGACCTCAAGATGCTACTCCTTCTGCTCTTGTTATTATTGCTGGCTCTATTTTTATTATCATTATTATTATTGTTGTTGTGATTATTATTATTATTATTACTATTTTCATTATTATTTTTATTATTATTTTTAATGTTTTTAACCCTAGTAATGTTACTAACATCTTTAATACGTTTAGTGTATTTTCTCTTGACCACGACGCAATTGTTATTATTGTTGTTGTTGTTATTGTTGCTACTGTTATTATTATTGTTGTTGTTTTTGTTGTAGCAGATGATTTTGTTGTTGTTGATGACGATTTTTGACATTTTTTCAAGCGCCATTGATGTAGTTATGAGGTATGTCAGTCTGTAAGGTTTGGTCTGAAATGAATGAATGAATGGATGAATGAATGAATGAATGAATGAATGTAGTGATGAATGGATGAATGATAAGTTAATGAATGGACGAGTTAATGAATGAATGATAGAAAGAAAGAACGAGCAAGTTGTTGAATGGCTCAATTGCTGCATAGATGAATACTCAGAATGAATGACTTAATGTATGAATGTATTAATGAAAAAATAAATGAATGATTGAATGAATGATTCAACAAATGAACGAACGAACGAATGAATGAACAAATTAAATAAAAGAATAAAACCTTATCCCAATTCTTTCTGTCAATCAACTTTCCAACTTGCAATTGCTTGCTGAGAATTTCATTGTCCATATCAAATATATTAATCTGTACAAAAAAAATGGTAAAGATGATAATCTACATAGCACTCCTACTACAATTGATTGCACTCCGACTACATTTGATTGCACTCCGACTACATTTGATTGCACTCCTACTACATTTGATTTGCCCTCCTACTACATTTGATTTGCACTCCGACTACATTTGATTGCACTCTGATTACATTTAAAACGCTACAGCAACACTTTTTACAATTTTCTTAGACATATTTTCATTGAATTGAATGAATAATAACAATAACAATAATAATAATAGTAAAAAGAAAAGGAACAATAATTACAACCACAACAGCCACAACAACCACAACGGCCACAGCCACAACAACCACAATAATAATAATAACACAAACGACAGCATGGCTATAAAGACATGATGATAATGAGGGCAGACAGCCTAAACATTCCAACCTCGAAAACATCACTACCATCACCAGCACCACCACCACCATCATCATCATCATCATCATTCTTCTTAGTGCCACTCCTCTGGCAGGCGAGTTCGTACTTCTCCACCAGCAGCCTCATGATGTGACCCACGGTGACCTCTGGGGGACAAAACAGGTACCTCGGTGGCGACGATGATGAAGGTTTTGATGACGTTGTTGATGATGATGGTGGTGGTTGATTTTTTGATGATGATATGGTTGCTGACGACGATGATGATAACGATGATGAAGTCGCCTTGGATGACGATTGTGATGATGGTGATGAGGTTGATAGTGATGATGACGACGATGTAGAGACTGATAGAGGAGAAAGTTTAGACATTAGCGAGGATGTTGGTGACTCCTTGTGAACATTAAACCCATCATCATCATCAGCATCATCGTCGTCCTTACCACCATCATAACTATCACTATCACCATCACCAACAATTTCTTTACCACCATTGTTACTATTGTTATCATCATTATCAATATCATCATCATTATTATTATTATTATTAGTAGTAGTAGTAGTAGCTGCAGAAGTACTGAAAGCATCAGCTGCAAAAGTAACTAATGGACCGGTAGTAGTGGCAGCAGCAGCAGCAGCAGCAGTAGTAGCAGAAAAAGTGGTAGAAACTAGTGAACTAGTGCTAGCTGGTGCCGTGGTAGCTAGGTTCAACTGCAGACTGATCCAGTTGCTTTGGTCTTGTAGAGATCGAAGGAGCTGGTAGCGGTCAGTCACGTGGTGATGTTCGGTTGGAAGGTTGATTGATAGAGTTGTTGGATCTGTTGGTCATGATGATTGTGATTTTCAGTGAGTAAATGAGTGAATTAATGAATGAATAAATGAATGAACGAATTAATGAATGGATGAATGGATGGAGTGAAATATTGAATAAGCTAAAAGAATGAATCATTGAATTTATGAATTACTGAAAAAAAGGAAGACTAAAAGACTGAATGAACGAATGAATGAATGAAATTATTAATAAAGCAATGATGAATTGAATAAATAGATGAAATACTGAATGAATGAATGAATGAGTGAATGAAGGAATGAATGAATTAATTAGCTAACCAACATACGGATTTTCGTCAAAAAATGTTTGTCTTCTTTGCATCTCATCTGCCAATCAATCAATCAATCAATCAATCAATCAATCAATCAATCAATCAATCAATCAATCAATCAATCAATCAATCAATCAATCAATCAATCAATCAATCAATCAATCAATCAATCAATCAGCCAATAACCAACCAATCAACAGCCAGCCAGTCAATCAGTTACTCAATCAATACATGAATGGGTGAATGAATAACTGTTGGATAAATGACCAAATGAATGAATGAACGAATGATTGAACAAACAAAAGAACGAACGAACGAACGAACGAACGAACAAACAAACAAACAAACGAACGAACGAATGAATGAATGAATGGATGAATAGAAGAATGAAATAATTCAAAAACAAATTTTGATACTTTTCAGCAGGTTAGGCACCAGTCTATAGATCAACGTCTGCAGGGTTTTGTCAGGCCTGATGATGAAAATTAAAACATTACTAGTAAAACCATTCAGCTATTTTCATCATAACTATCACCATCACCATCACAATCATTATCATCGTTATATACTGCAACATCATCATCAACATCACCATCATCATTATCCTCATCATCACCATCATCATTATCAACATCATCATCCTCTTCATCACCATTATAAACTGCAACATCCTCATCATCATCATTATCATCATTATCACCAACATCATCATCACCATCATCATTATTATCATCAACATCATCATCAGCATCATTATCACCATCCTCATCATCACCATCATAATCACCACCAACTTAATATTGGTGTGTGGCTTAGTTTTATGGATCTGTACATCACAGATAGGACAATACTTGTTGGACTCTACGTAGCTGTATATGCACGATTTACAAACTGCAAAACGGTAAATGAATAAAAAATAATTATGGTAAATACTTTTCAAAATTAAATAATAAAAAGATAATAATTATTATAGCTAAATAATTACGTTAAATTATATTTATAAATAATATAACATGAGTGCAGAAGACATACAAGATAATTTTGCAAGCACTAGACATAAATACAATAATATTTTTAAAATAATTACAAATGAAAATAATAAATCAATAAATAATGATTATTATTTTATATTATTTCAATAAATAAATAATTATTATTATTTTATATTATTTTAATAAATAAATAATTATTATTTTTACAGATCAGTTAAAAATATTGAAAAATATTAATTATTCTAACACGAGTGGAGACATTCTATGATGGTACTGGCGTTAATCATATAGCCGCTACACAGCGAACACAGCAGATGGGGATTCAAATCCATCACCTTAATTTTATTCTCAGTGTCAGGCAGTAAGTTCATTTTTAACCTTTCTTTCTTGAATAATTTCAATAAAATGATTCACTTTTAATCAATTCCAAGTTTTTCGTGGTCTTTTGTTGGCTGGTTTGCTATTGCCTGCGATGTGTTTGAGGTTGATCAAGAGATAAATTATTTTATTAATCTATATCTATTTATGATATTATCATGGTAAAATTTCATTTTCCAGACAACCATAAACACACTACAAGTGAATAAATAAATTGGATGATTGCAAATAGCAAGTAGTAAAATTAATAAGGTTGCGCAATTGTAATGTGATGACCAAAATATTTATTATATTGATTTATCACTAATCTCATTAATCATTTGTTCATTTCCTTAATTTACCAACATGACTAACTAATAATAACCAGCTAAGCTAACCTTAACTTAATGTCTTAACACTAACTAATCTAATTTAAGTATTATTCTTCTTAATCTGTCTAAATTTAATAATAACATCCCCATTCTGATCTCTTGTTAGACCATTCACTAATTGCTAATCTTACCCTGTCTAAGCATGATCCTAATGCTTCTGTTTCTAACTGCCAATCTAAACTCATACTGACTCTGAATGTAATAAAATGATAATTTAATTACTGAATCCTTTTAAAATAAATTATTGGCACAACAGACAAAACATTTTATTTAATAAACTAGTAGTAATCTTCTGGTGAAGATTTTGAAGGACAAACTCAATCGCATATGAGATCGGAAAAATGAAAAAGTTATTTATCATCGCGAGATGTCACTTTTTATCACTAATTTTAAACTTCGAAACAATTGCGCCTTTTTATAAAATTGACGGAGGACCGGTTTCTTACTGAAAAATTTATTTTAATCCAGAAAAGTTAAACACATTTTAAATTAATTAATTAAAATATTTAATTTAAAAAAACTAATTTTCACTGACATTTTGCGTAAAATGTATTAAATTTAGGAAGTTTGAAGATGAAAATTGTAGGTTCTTCCAGCACGTATGATCACGTGAGCAAATTTTTTCAAAACAAACCAAGGTCTGACTAAATGGCGAAATATTTGTTTATGGCCGTTTGGCTTCAACTTTAGCGCAACATAGTAACGAGTTTATATGACGATAGTTCGATATCGAAATGCTTTACCGTAGTTCAAACATATAATTAGAATAAATATATCGGCCTTCGCTCATTTTTGACGGTCGAGCAAGGAGCTTACTTCCGGAGGAAAATTGGAGGGTGATTTTTTATCGCCCAAGTCTAAAATTACGATCGTTTATTTACTAATTTCGGAATATTGCTTTTATTTAAAATGTTTTGAATAGTGATACTAGATGCTGTTTTAGGATAGATATTGCAGTATGACGGTTTTTGCATTTTAAATTAAAAAAATTTTTTGTGAAATTCTTCTTCTTCTCGCTTTTTCTTAACTCGTGTTAAACACTCTTTTGCCAAATCTGCTTTTGCTTTTTCTGGTCCTTTTCTCTGGAACTCTCTACCTACTTTTCTAACTACTTCTCCATCACTTGCGAAGTTCAGAGCGGATCTCAAGACCCATCTGTTTTCAAAATTCATTGAGGAGCGCTGTTGAACATCGCGGAAATAGCGCTTTCTAAGCTAATTGATTGATTGATTGATTGATTGATTGATTGATTGATTGATTGATTGATTGATTGATTGATTGATTGATTGATTGATTGATTGATTGATTGATTGATTGATTGATTGATTGATTGATTGATTGATTGATTGATTGATTGATTGATTGATTGATTGATTGATTGATTGATTGATTGATTGATTGATTGATTGATTGATTGATTGATTGATTGATTGATTGATTGATTGATTGATTGATTGATTGATTGATTGATTGATTGATTGATTGATTGATTGATTGATTGATTGATTGATTGATTGATTGATTGATTGATTGATTGATTGATTGATTGATTGATTGATTGATTGATTGATTGATTGATTGATTGATTGATTGATTGATTGATTGATTGAGTGATTGATTGATTGATTGAGTGATTGATTGAGTGATTGATTGTGAACCACTCTTCTAACAATTGACTCGTTAACGATTAACTGTAACCGGTAAGGGTAACGTAACAACATTAACGACGACTAATTAGTAATTAAATTACTAAACTCTAATAATTAAGCTAAAACTAAACTACTAATTCTAATTACTAATTAAAATAAATAACAGATAACACTAACGAACATTAACAGATTAGACTACTAGAGACTACCAACCACTACACTACTACAACTACTACACTAACAGCACTTGTTCCTAAAATCCTAAATCCTATTGCTTGATTGGTTGTAAAATTTTTACTTACAATGCTTAGGCCTGGGAATAAAGAATATATTTTTTAAAATAACTAATATTCAATTTTTGCTAGTTATTCAATTATGTGGATAATTTCATATAATTAGAATAATTTGTCGTGCTTGGATTATTGGCTTACGAAATTGCATGGATTTTAACGAGCAAGCTATATGAAATATTTACTTGACTTAATATGCTTAAAACATTGTAGTAATTCTCTTTAATTTTATTGAATAAAATTATGATTTTATTAAATAAAATTATGTATTATTAAATTATTGTTGTTAATTTGAATATAAAAATTATACTTTTGGTCCTGTGAAATCCGGTAGTTTTTTTACTGAAGCCGAAGGTTGGCTTAGTAGGATTGAACTAAAGTCACCCTTTTTTACACTATTCGATCATGTTAAAAATTTGTTTGATCATGAAATAAACGACCTAAATAGATCAAAATTGTTATTTGAACAACTATCTTCATTATATTCAATGAATATTTTACATTCTGCTGGTGCTCATAGAGATTATGGTTGCTGAAATCATACGTTGGCTTACTGCAGTGGCTTACTGGGTCTCATACAACAGTGTCATGGCGGTTTTCTTTACATATAATGCTTTAAATAAGTCAATATATTCATTTCACAATTATTTTTGTCAATATAAATAAAGAAATTGCTTTTGTCTGGTAAAATACAGTGGCCAAGTAAAGCCGTATGTTGGCTTAATCGGATTTTTTTTTCATATATAAAATACTATGAAATCAATCAACCAATCAACTAACCAACCATTCATTCAATCAACTAATCAACCAACCAATCAATGAACCATATTTGAAAAATATTTGCAAGGCTTGTTCAAACTCGAACAAACACTTAACTGTACCTACAGATCTACAAACAATTTCGAGATTTTAGTAAAGAAAGAAAAACACAATAGTTGCTTTTATTAAATCAAGAAATATCCAAAAATTATATAACCAATTTAAAAAAAATAGAAACCAGTCAACATTTAATAAATAATTAAATAAATAAATAGACATTATTAAAAAGATTGTTCAAAAAGGTAAAATTTAAGGCGACGACAAGAATAAAATGTAGTTTGTTTTGTTGGTGTGGGGCTGTGAAGCGAAAACAAACACATCACAAAAAACTAGTAAAAAGTCGCAAGAATAGTAGTCAGTCACCTACCTACAATTAAATTACTCTCAGGACCCTAGCTTACTTATAATCATTAACTCAACTCACCTACCTACAAATATGTTTTTCTACGTTTTTGGAATTTTACATGTTTTAGGTATTTTATTTTACATATTTCAGCGTTTTTATTTTACTTGAAACTTTTTAACTAATGTTAAGCCCTAGCCTACCTACGATTGTTCAACTCATCTCAATCCCTAACTTACCTATGAATAAAATTAAGTCCGGTAAAGAAAATAGAAAGTTGAAGAGAAACATAACAACGACACCGATTGAATGGATGTTGTGTATGTGTGTGTTGTATTGATGTATGTGCGTAAATGTGCGCGCGTGTACTCTCCAGAAACTTCTTATTGTCATCTTAGAATTGTCATCGGAACGATCATCATGAGACCACCATCTGAAACGTGCTGACGCCCACCACAACCCACCTCTCATCATTCTGTAGACAAATTTTTTTATAAGCGTAGTAGTAAATGAATGTTAGAATCTTAGGAGCAAAAAATTATAAAATGGAAACAATGGCAAATAAATAATATTTTAAAATAATAAAGTGATTAAAATGTAAAAAAAACTTACCGTCGTCCATTCGACAAAGGCAGAATGTTGAATGCGGTTCGGTTCCTACGTTGTCCTCCAAAACTGGTGCCAGTCCTCCTCGAGATTGTTGTTGAAACACAGAGAAAGAGAAAATTCTCATCAGAAAGCTTAGCGGTGCCTGCATCTCAAATTGCTTAATAAAAATAATCCTATCTAAATTCAAATACCTTAGCTAATCTATATTAAATTGTTAATGGTACGATAGTCGAAAGTCCTCCTTCATTCTCCCTCCTTGCACAGAGGCTCACCGACAGCCAGGGCACCGGATAGTAAACCATTGCCGTGCGGATAGTAGACTATTGCCGTGCGGATAGTAAACCATTTGCCGTCCGGAAGCCGTGCGGGTAGTAGACTATGGCCGTGCCGCATGGTAAATCATTACCGTGCAGATAGTAAACCATTGCCGTCCGGATAGTAAACCATTGCCGGTTCACCACTGGCCACCAAGGCTTACCTCTGACAAGAGACTTTGAAATCCAGAGTCAATCGGCTATCGTACCCTCAACTTACCTACTCATTACAATTAAGCCCTAGCTTACTTAAAATTACAAAACTCAAGAGCCCAATTCATTTAGCCAATCGGCACCCACCCCACCACCTACGTAATGCCTTGGGCTCCAACTTAGTAATAATAATATAA